CCACATGTTGAAGCCACACACAAACGTATGCAGACGCATAACATATTTTATAGCTTTAATAGTTGTCACATTATTGCTATGAGACACATACTTCATTCCGTTTGACGAGGAGATATATATTTACTATATACGTATATATGTATAATACATACATACAACAATGTACAATTATCACTTACAGCTTCCGCAACTCCGTTTTTTTCCTACTAGAAACAGTAGTATATATCTACTGTGTATATTGTATATGAATAATGTATAAATGCATTCAACCAGTTGCGAATGTCACTCTTTCAGAACGATGACAGTTGATTGGGTGCATTTGCATATCGTTTTACAGACGAATATTGTTCTTATTGTTTTTTTGTGGAAAATATTTAAAATACGGAACAATAAATTGTATATTACAATAACTGGAAATATTTGCCGACACCCAATAAGAGTATGAAATACAAGTTAATAAATTTAAATGCATGGAAAAATATTACAAAATTGTCTTTTTTTTGTATTCTCAATCAAATTAATTATAATTATATTTATATTGGTTTAATATCGTCTTGCTCTGTTTATGGGCTGTGAACTTTTGGATTTTTGGGTTGGCATAATGTTTGATATATTATAATTTCAAAATATATATATGTACATATTATATACATACATATATTATAAAGAATATTTTTAACAAATATATGATTATAATTAACAAATATATGAAAAAACACTCAAGTATGTACAAACATTAATCAGATTCCTAGAAGTTAGGTAGATTCCTAGAAGTGCCCGGCTCTCGCGGCAATTGATTATTGACAAATAAAGACATTCATATACATCAATGGAAACAATTTCCAGAATCACAGTTAAACAATTTTAAGTTCTTTTTGGCCATCACAGCCATACACATACAATATAGAATAATTGAGCTTGGTATGTGCGCTGCATTAACAATTCGCGGCATCTTTCAACACCGCAAAGTCGGCAGGAATTCTTAGAAATTCATTAATTTGCATTTAAGTTTAAAAAATAAACACACACACACATACATACATAAATTATATTCGGAAAACAACACAAAACGTAATGTAAACAAAATTTAGGAGACGCAGTGTGAATCGAATTAAAACAGCCGCCAATTTAAAAACATTATAAACAAAGGAAATTACAGCTACTAAAAATAAACAACATATTAAACAAAAAATCATTAATTGTGCACATACACAAATATATAATATATATATATATTGTTTTTTTTATACGTATACATATGAATGAGTTTGTGCGGCGCCGCTAATGACACACATTGGAGATACCAGACACTCACACCTGCAACGTAAACAATGGCATGCTATAATTTAGTGGGTTAAGATGTTAGGGCCAACTAGTGAGGCTATTAACCAAACCGCTCACATATCACATATACACTAAATTAGTAGTAGTGTAGGTTTTGGGTGCTAAAAGTTCAGCATTACACATACATTAAAAATACACAATAAATACTCACAATAAACTGGAATTGTGCAGCATTTGCACAATTTCCCCAATCTGGTGTAATTTCTCAGCCGGAATATTTAGCCAATGATTGAATGCCAAGGCCAATTCAGAGCGAAATTGTTTGCCTGGTATCTGTTGTATGTAGGCGAAGGGCTGCAACAGAATCTGCATAGGAGATACAAAAAAAAAAACATGCGGAAAATACACGTAAGCGTAGGCGATCTAAATTTACGCAAACACACACTTTCGTTATACGCAAGTTATCCGAAAGTGGTGCGTAAAAGGTCAAAGTTAATGAATGAATACTACTTGTATCACCTCATCTTGTTCCTTTTGCGCTGATGGATCACGCGTTTTCGCAAGTATAGAACACAATTCTTCCATGTTATTCATCACTGGCATTTAAATGATGAAGTATCTTAAATAAGTACACTAATTTGGCGAGTGTTAGGAACACTTAATTTTCACACGACTGATCGACTTGTCAGACACCACTTGTCTGCTTGGAACAAATTGTAGACCGAAGGAAATAATGCAAAGCAATATATGAAGTATAGCTGATTCTTTGACAACCAAATAACTTACGATGTAAACAAAAGCAGTTTGAGAGTCACTGTTAAAAATTTGACAGTTGCTAAGAAAATAGAGTTGCCGTAATCTCAATGTTTTTGATTGTTTATTTTATCATATGACTTTTGGTCCATAGTATCTTACCATAATCGTAAACATATTTTTAAAAAGGGTTATAGTTGGAGGATTTAAACAACAGAACAACTAACTACTATTAACAAAATGTAAAAAACATATCGGCAATTTTCCAATGTATATAATTTCTTAAAATATTATAATATTATCACTTATACTGGCAGCACTCGCATATGCAACGTGTCAAACTATATTTGTTGTCAATTGTTGTTTGCTGTCAATTTTTTTTGTTGAAAAGTGCAAATTTCTTTCATATTTGTGTATTACAATTAAATAAATTGGAATCATAAATACTTAAAATTAAAACAATAGAATGGCTGCGTCACAACCCGTTCGTACAAATTGGCATCCGAGCAAAAAGCATACTGATGTTGAACGGTAAACAACTGTTATTATAACACATGCCAAACCCCACCTGACTATAAAATTGCTTTCATATTCCAGTTGGATCTGCATATATCCCGCATATATAAATAGCAAAAAGACACGCCAAGAGGGACGTCGCCTACCAAAAGATATTTGTGTTGAAAATCCAACTTATGCGGAAATACGTGATGTCCTATCGGTAACCAGTTTGCGCGTCGCTGTGGAGAACAAGCAGTACTCTAGGGAACGCAGCAGGGTAAATTTTTTTTTAGCTAACAAAAGTAAGCAAATCAAGACTTATTTATTTCTATTTCAAGGAGCTACAAATGCGTGGTCGCATACGCGTTCAGATGCGTAATGATGACGGCACACCATGCAATCCTGATTTGGGCACCCGCGAGGATGTGATGCGTTATGTATCAACAAGAATACCACAACTGAAAACGCGTCAAGGCAAATCTGGTGATCATCAACAGCACGTACAAGCGCAACAGTCAGCCGGGGGCAAAAAGGGCAAGGGCAAGAGGCGCTAAAAAAAGTAGAAATTGAAGGTCATACATATGCATTTCAACATATTTTTTGGGTATTTCCCATTCAGTGTTCAAGAATGTCAAAAATAGGCATATGTAAAAGTTCTAGCGGTAATAAGTAAATTTGCATTTTTTGTTTTATTTACAATTGGTTATTGTAACTTATTTTTTATAAATAAAATATAAGAACAATTACTTGTGTTGGTGGTCAAATACTTATATGTGGTATGTGTGTACGAGCGCGAAATTAAAAAAAATGTAATTTCAGAAGCATTGTGCTCAGCTATTTGAACAAATTATATATATATGGTGTATGTAATTTGAAATATCACAGAAACGTGACAATGCATCTTGCTTGATTTATTTACATACGTGTATGTACTTTATATTAATGTATTTTCGTCGCTCGGCCCGATTATATGAAAAGTATCGCATTTTTGTCACTATCTTCACCTTGTAAGAACAGTTGCTGAATGTTAACAACGAGTGCGGCTCGAACGATGTAAGCTTTGCGCTGATTTCTGCTTGGGTTTTACTATTTTCTATAATCGTTTAGGTTAATAATATTTTGTAACTTTAACAAATGGTTAGAGAATATACGATTTTTTAAAGTTGTTACAACAACAAAATATTTTTGAATATATTTTTCAGAATTGATAAAATTTTATTAAATATTTTATTAAGTATTGCCAAGGTATTTATATAAACAAAGTATTTTTTGTGATATTTCAAACAATTTTTAGCGAATTAGAGCACAGTTATATATTTTCAAAATATGTATGATAATGTAAATTATTGTCTAGCGTAAACTTAAAGGTTTGTTTTGCTTAAGGCTTATGTATTCTCTGTTGCTTTTGAAAAATACTCAAACGGGTCCCTCAATCTTAATCGCAAGTGGACTTCATGCAAGAAAGAACCGAAGCTTATATAATACCCTTCTCGAGTGAATTTATTGTATGATTATAACGATGCTTTGCGCAACAATTCGTGTCGAGAATTTCGTAAAGATATCTTGGCAAATAAAAAAGTTTTCCACACAATTACGTGATTTTGATCGTTCAGTCTGTATACTATATGCTAAATTGGTCCGATCTATAAAAATTATTGGAATATTATAGCATTTCTTAGAGTAACAACTTATGTCAAATTTCGTGACGATATCTTGTCAAATAAAAAAGTCTTCTATACAAGAACTTGACTTTGATCGTTCAGGTTGTATGATAGATATATGTTAAAGTCGTCTGATATCAGCAGTTCCGATGAATGAGTGGTTTCTTATGTAGGAAATGGCATGTGCGAAATTTCAGGACAATATCTCAAAAACTGAAAGACTTTTTATTGTTTGCTAACATTTTTTTCCAAGTGGCATTTTCAAACAAGATTTATGCACTTTTAACCAACTTGCATAGCGTAATACATCATGAAGAACTAATAAGTTCGATTTTTTCCTATATCAACTTAAGCTCTTTAAGAATCACACCAGCGATATGTGAATTCCACAAGTATTTCAACTTGCTGGGTCGACAAATTCTCCAACACTGCATCGAGCCGAGCCAAAACTATATTGAAAGCAGAACGCTTAGTTCGGTTCAGACAGCATTGAGAAGACAACACGAAAACAGAAAATAAACAATAATATTTATTAATATAAAAATTATGAAATTCATAAACATTGAGTACACAAAACGTGAAAAATATAATTAACAAACATGCAATTGGTCAAAACACAACGATTGTGAGCGCAATATAAAATCAATTAATTGCATTGCAGCAGCATTGAGTAGACAAAAAACCGTCGAGTGCAACACAAACGTGCGGGCATACAAACAAAAGCATAAAAAAAAGAAATTTGTAATTTGTAGTAATATATAACGGTTTATTTTTTGTTGTCTTTGTAATATGTCACCTATCGCGACAATGTCTAACGTTTGTTTTTGCTTTTACACACTGGCATTACTGCTAGTTTGGGTGATTGTCATTACAACGGCCGCGCCGCCCGATCAGAAATCCACCACACTTACGAAATTTTGGGGTAAGAGTCCTGCGCAGGAGCAACGCTTGGAAAACAGCTGCAAATCGCTGTGTGAACAATGCAGTTGTATGGGTTTCTATTGCGGCGAGCAGTGTCTGTGTGAATATGACAAGCGTTTAAGTAATCGCGGAGATAGTGCCAGACGTAACGGCACAAAAGTCAACACGCGCTCGGAGGGGGAGTGCATTGCCGCAATGCAAAGTAAGGCTCGCAAACAGAGTCTGCCTTTCGATGTACTCATACAGGGACCAAGTAGTGAGCGTTTCATACGTACCGCCATGAAATACGAAATGGATAAGGCGCGCGCTGCGGCCATGCTGAGGAATACGCCACCCAAGCGCACCACCATCGCTATTTATCAGCCATATACGCCTGCAAGGGATAAAACATGGAGATCGATGGAAGCGCGTAATCGTCGCTCAACGGATCAATTGGATTGGTTTAGCGATTTCGCGAATACCTTAGTGCGTCCTGCGCCGCTACGCAAGACTGATGACGCTAGCGGCAATAAGAAACGTGAAACGCAGGGCAACGAAGATGACTCTGTAGCCGAGAAACCCGATTCATGGTTTAGCGATCATGCCAATCGTTTGTTACGGCCAGCGCCTATTTTCCGACGACATAAACCCCAGAAAGAGATGAGTGAAGAGCTGGAAGACGAGCCGCGCGACTCACAGGAAACTGCAATGCCACGCGTTGGACACCTAATAAAGAATACTATCAGAAATATACAGGAATCGGATTTTGGCGAAAGCTTACGCACCGGTCTGCGTGATAGCAGCGATCTCTTGCAGAACACTCTTCAGAGCAGTAATTTAGAACTGATTCCCAAGCGCTTTCGTAACGACTTCGTTGAGGTGTTCGATACATGGCTGAAGAATCAGCAAGTCACCGAACCAAGTGTGGAGGTATCTCCGGTGCCGCCGCGCACATCATCACATCTTTTCCTGCCTTGGTTCCGTCCTGTGCGCTTCCTGCAACACGTGCAACAAGCGCTTAACTAAGTACGAACCTCCCTAACACAAGGACACTTCATATATTTCGTATGTCACTTTTATTTATTGAAATATTACGAAGATTTGGATAGGCTTACGCTTTAATATTAACTTGTATTCGTAAATGTGTATACAATCTTCTAGATATATTTATATTTATAACAATATGTACACTGACGCACTTTGTACCGTTATTCTTTTTAATAAAGCCATCACAACTTAGAAATGTACTCATGCAGTTAAGATAAATGAAGCCCGCAGTGGTTGAATAGCTTTCTTTCCGCTACCGTTTCAATATCTACACTTTCCTGTAATAATAAATATTTCGTAGTAAACCTAATTCAACTCGAGGGTGAGTATTCAAAAGGTATTGTGCGTTGGGCATAGCTTTAACCAAGGTTTATAGTTATTTTAACTCCTCTGAAAGGGTATTTGCTGAAGTCACAGTAGTTCTAGCTCCAATAGGATTTCTGATGGCATTTTAGTGGTATCAATAACCATATCATTACGTCGATTGTAAAGAAAATGCCTGTTTTGAAAGTCTCTGTATGAAAGAATCGCATGCAACGGCTTAAATACTAGAAAGGAAGTTTACATAGATAACAATATCCTTGCAGTACTAATTTTTACTAATATCTGGGCGGCAATAGTGCGATACCTAGTCATACGTTGGTAACGGGAATATTTTTACCAAAGGTCCGATTGACAGCCCATAGCAATGACTTTGATCCGCTACCGATTTTCATTGGTTCTGTCGGAAATAAATAATTAGGTTTTGTCAACGATGACTTCTTACATTGTCTCGGGGGTGTTTCGAGGTATGCTCCGATGATCCGCTTAATACAGTTCCAAACATCATTCAATTGTTCCGCAATTATTATAATATTTGCGAGGTGTCTCGAGAAGTTCTCACGCGTAAAAGGTCAGTGGAAGAAGGAAAGTTTGGAGTATTTCCTTAGACTCCTTTTTAGAGGATTTATATATCTATGTTTCTAACATAGGTACTTAAGAAATGTCCTATCCGTTACCGGTGACCTCAAAAGTTGTCAAAAATGTTCCCTGCTCTTCTTTGTTTTTCATGAGTTTTTGTTATTGGGTGAGACGCTACTTTTAATTGTACTACGGATCAAGTTGACCGTTCGAGACATTTTGAAATCATAAATATGAATATTCTCTGGTTTCGTAGACAATCTTTTCGCCGACTCTGTAATCAGTGTTTTCAGAAAACGCGTTTAAAGTTTTGGAAGCCGACGACATAAAATCAAAAAATGTTTACAAATGTGCTCAATCCGGATTTAACTTAAAATTTTCGGAGAATATCCTTAAATATATGTACATTCGCAATATATACAAATAAAAAAATCGCGCATAGAAACTTATATAGCCATAATACATCTTTTAGCTGTCTTGGCGAGTTCCTATTCCGATAAGTAGTGGGCGCTTCTTCTGACTAGTGGACGAATTTAAAAGTTTTAAGTCAACTCCAAACGGTTAATGGATTTTTTAACTTTTTATGCCTGAACTAAGTTCGAAAGTTTGCCAGTGCCTGCCAAGGAGTGACTACTTTAGAAATAGTTTTTTATGTTGGTTGGAACAGGGAGCTCAATCGAACTTATCCAACCATTCTGATTAGTGGTAAGAAGCAGTTCTAATTAACACACTTCGAGGGTCAATTTTATCGACAAATTTTATTCGGTCGAGAGCAATGCTTGCAGTAGACTAAATCTGTCTGCACTTTTAAGTTTGAAGGAAGTCTTACATATTTTTATTTAGCCTGCCATAGCCACAAAATTTTTTCGGAGTTGTTTTTTTTTTTTTTTTGAGAAGGTAAGAATATTGATAGTAATAGTCGTAGTATTTGAGATAAACAGTTTATTTATATTTTTATTTCCATTTTTGTTTTATTTATCATATTTACTAAACATAACACTATAATACAAAGTTATTATTACATTTTTATAAATTACATTACAAATTTCGAAAATTTCACCGATTTCGAAAAACATAATAATTCTTCGAACGTGTAAGCAAGACAGCAAGATACAAAAAAATTGCAGCAAAAGAAGTAAGTGGAGGGTAGAAAAAGTGAAAAGTAAATACGAGTACATATTAACGAATTAGCACAGCAAAATAAAGCTGAAATTTAGTACATCGTCTTAATGTTTATCACAGTTTTGTATATACAAACAGGATGTGTTCTATAAATTTATGAGGAGAAGAGAAAATAACAAAAATTAAATTATAAAAAAGTGAAGTAACATAAATTTACGAGTGTGAAAGATGAGACTAATAAAAAATAGAGAGAGGGAGAGAGTTATATAAACGGCAGCTTGCATTGGCAGTTATGATATTTAAAAAATAATTATTTTATATGCACTACACACTAAAAAGCAGGGGGTACTTAAACTTTAAACACGTTCGAAAGCAGCAATTTCTTTTTAATTATAAAATATAGTCATAAAAAATTAAAAGAAACTATGCAAATTCGTTAACAATTTCAATTTGTTAGCAATTTGCCTCGATGTGCATTTGTATACAGAATTTTTTTTAATTATTCCTCTTACGTTCGGAAATTTTTGTATTAATTCAAAAGTGAGTTTATGAAAATTGGTTTTTGATTCATAGAAAGGGTAGTTTCACTTGAAGCATTCGTAAAAATTTATAATTAACAACTACATACTAAATAGCAAAAATAAGTATGTATAAGTATGAGCAAAAGAACAAAAAGAATTAACAAGTGTTTCGTAAATTCATAAGTATGTATGCTTCGATTTCTCTTCACTTTTTCTCACATTATTTTCGAAATTTATACATCTTTTTCTAAGTTAGTACACAATAAACGAATATGTATGTATGTTTACAGACGGCAAAGCGATTTTAGTTATTTAGGCAGGCGCTTCTGTCGGCTGGTGGCAACCCTCCACATTCTCGGGCCAATCGCATACATTCTCTTGTGGGTTGAAAACTAAGTTGGCAGGACATGGCATATGATGTTTGCGTTCACCTTCGCACATGTAGTAGTGAGTGCAATCGTTCCAATCTTTGTGATAGCTTATGTGGCCATCCTCCTCTTCGCAGGTCACATCGTGTGCTATAATAACGGAAATTATATTTCAAATACTTGTGCTTATAGTGACAAGCTGCTTGTACTTACGATCTTTTGTCGTGTAGGCGCCACGTGGTCCGTGCGACTCATATGGACCTTCGTATTCCAATTCGACTTTGTAGTCTTTCAATTCGTCGCTGAGCGCGGTCAAAAGCGGATACTTGCCTGCACCGCAACGTCCCGAGAAATCATCCATATCGATGGACCAAACCATTATGCCACCGAAACCTTGTTCCTTCAACCATTCCATCTGCAATCACATCAAGTTTAGATATAAATTTAAAAAATCTCATATATTCAACACCACACACTTGCCTTGGTTTTTAGCGAGCGTTCATCGTCGAAGCCAACCCATTGGTTGCCACGATATGCGAATGGCACTTGCTGTTCGGAGTCCCATACCAGCGTTGTATTGTCCGCTGCCAAGAACGAACACACCTCGTAGTAGCTCAAGAAACCGGCTTCGTTTGTAAATTTGCCTGCTTTGCCGCCACCGGATGCCGGCGCACCAATATCGAATTGTGTCTCGTTGACAAGCTCAAATGAACGTCCATATGTGGGCATACCAATGAGCAGCTTCTCTTTGGGCGCACCTTGTTTCACCCATTCGCGTGCGCTGTAGTCCACAGTCAATTTCTTTTGATAACCTGTTGTCGCTTCTAAGGGGAAGAGTGGTGAATTGTGTCCAACTGTGCGTTCCCATTGGCCGTGGAAGTCATAAGTCATTACATTGATGAAATCCAGATATTTCGAAATCTCAGGCACATCATAACCGGCTGCGATGGCTTCGAATGAAGCTGGCACTGCAGCTGTCAGAAGCAAACGCGGTTGTCCCGAAGATTTGGCCTCACCCTCGAATGCGACACGTAATTCACGTAGCAGATTTACGTAGGCGGCACGATCTTCGGCACCACGTGGATATTCCCAGTCTACATCGAGTCCATTGAATTTGTAGTCACGTAGAAAATCGATAGCCTCATAAACGAACTGGTTCATACGGAAAACATTGGAGGTGAGCTCTTTGAATGGTTTCGAACCGAACGCCCAACCACCGATGGCCAAAAGAATTTGTATGTCGGGGTTCTCCTCGCGCAAAGCAATAACCTGTTCGTAGTTTTCGGGATCATCGTCGGTTGCTTCACTAAGCTTGTGGTCTTTGAGTGTGGCAAAAGCGTAAACGACGTGTGTGCAGAGTTTCGGATCTACATTTGAAGGCAGGAACTTGCCAGCACCAGGGCGTTTGGCAGACCAACTTGTCAGGTAGCAGAAAACTTGCGCGGGACGTGCTATATTGAAAGAGCGGTAGTTAGACATATAAGTTTGAAATGTATATTTTCTTTTAAACTCACTGTTTTGCTCTTTAGCAACCAGACCCGACTTGATGCGATGTTTCTTCGACGGTTTGCGCACTTTGCTAAGCAATTCTTCTACAGCAATCTTAATCGGCGCGGGTTTCTCCTCCTAAAAATAATAAATTTATATTTTGTTCTATTAATTTATTTCAGAATGTAGTTACTTCTTCTTCTTCTAAGTCCTCGAAAGTGGCCGCTACCGCGGTCCAGTTAACATCCTTCGCCTCTTTGCCGCGAGATATACCCAGCAATTCTTCACGCATAGCGCCGATCAGTGGATATTTGACATTTCCTCCGCACACCTCGCCCTTGAAATCATCCATATCAATGGTCCAAACCATAGCGCCACCGAAACCATTCGATTTGATCCAATGCATTTTGTTGCGAATAGCGCGCTCGTCATCAAAACCGACCCACTATTACAGTAAGATATTATATTCGCATAAAATCCCCATTTCTTGTACCACAATAGAACATACCTGATCACCATCCACCATGTAGGGCACTTTCATCTCTTCGTCCCAAACGTAGACGGCGCCATTCAAAAGCATCTCACAGATTTCATAATAGGCCAGAAAACCACTCTCCTTGGTGTACACACCTTCGCGACCACCACCGGTTGCCGGCGCATTCGGGCCATGTTTTTCAGTATTTGCCAAAGTAAATGAGCGTCCATATGTTGGCATACCTGTTGTAGGGGAAGAAGAGAGTTTTTATAATTGTGCCAAGTGGCAAAAGAGTTCATTCGACTCACCGATCACAAGCTTCTCCT